CTCTCTCTCTCTCTCTCTCTCTCTCTCTCTCTCTCTCTCTCTCTCTCTCTCCCACACACACCTCTGTGTGTGTGTGTGTGTGTGTGTGTGTGTGTGTGGTAATATTCACTAGCAATATAACTTCTCCTTGTGGCATCGGAACCCAAGATCTCAAGAAAAGAGTTGATCAAGAGAAATGTTTGAGAGATTGTGTTCTAACCAATGAGATTATGCTCCTTGGCAAAGACAGGGTAGGGAAATTTCACGTTGCTTTCTAGTCAAGAAATGAAAGCTGAATGATGACATCCCAGTTTTAAAAGAAATAAAATCTGAATTTTATTTTAAAATTTTATAAGGCAGTGAAACCAAACAGCATTTCTGCTCCTCTTGATTTGCTTTATGAGGAAGTTACAGGGAACTCTACAGTTCATTTAAAAAGAAAACTGATTTTATTTTTCTTGTTTGGTGCTGGGGCTCCAACCAAGGGGCCTCATTCATGAGAGGCAAGCACTCTACCACTGAGCTGTACCCCCAACCTATAAAACTGAAATGATTAACATCTCCACAGAAATACTAAATTCCTTTTACAAGTAGGGTCCAGCTATTTATCTGTCCTCTAACCAAGTTTGTTGGCGTCTTTACCCACACAAAGTTGTGTAGATTGTGGTTTGGTTTGATCTCTCTTCTTGTGGTCAAAGAAAGAGATAAAAACGTGTTATAGTAGGTTCTGATTTGGCTTGGAGACTCGCAGAACAGCTAGCTTCACCGTCGCGTGGTTGGCTTTCCAGGCTGTGGTAGGACTTCCCTCAGTACCGGCAGTACAAGGCGCTCTGGCCGGAAACTCTGGAAGGCCGCCAAAGAAAAGTGAAGTTCCTGGCGCTAGCGCGAGTCTTGCTCCGAGAGCCCGGCGCTAGCGCATTCTTCGTGCAGTTATTGGCTGGGACTCTGTGTGCCGCTGTCGGCCAATGAAGTCGCTGGAGATCTGGCCCCGGCCCGTCCCCTTTCTGCGCCCCGGGATGAGGCAGAGGCTGAACAGCCGGCGAGCAAATCGGCGGCACCCAGAAAGCCATGTCCGACTCCGCGCCTAGCGCCCAAGCGCTAACCCGCTGAAAGTTTCTCAGCGAAATCGTCGGGACGATCTGGAACCCGCTGAGAGGAACTGCTTTTGAGTGAGATGGTCCCAGAGGCCTGGAGGAGCGGACTGGTAAGCACCGGGAGAGTGGTAGGAGTTTTGCTTTTGCTCGGTGCCTTGAACAAGGCTTCCACCATCATTCACTATGAGATCCTGGAGGAAAGAGAAAAGGGTTTCACTGTGGGTAACGTGGTCGCAGACCTTGGTTTGGATCTGGGCAGTCTGTCAGCCCGCAGGCTCCGGGTGGTGTCCGGAGCAAGCCGTAGGTTCTTTGAGGTGAACTGGGAGACGGGAGAGATGTTCGTGAACGACCGTCTGGATCGAGAGGAGCTATGTGGGACACTGCCCTCCTGCACTGTAACTCTGGAGTTGGTGGTGGAGAGCCCTCTGGAGCTGTTCAGCGCGGAAGTGGTGATCCAGGACATCAACGACAACAATCCCGCTTTCCCTACCGGGGAAATGAAATTGGAGATTAGCGAGGCTATGGCGCCAGGGACGCGCTTTCCGCTCGAGAGCGCGCACGATCCCGATGTAGGAAGCAACTCTTTACAAACCTATGAACTGAGCCATAACGAATACTTTGCGCTTCGCGTGCAGACGCGGGAGGACGGAACCAAGTATGCTGAACTGGTGCTGGAGCACTCCCTGGACCGAGAACGAGAGCCAAGCCTCCAGTTGGTGCTGACGGCGTTGGATGGAGGAACCCCAGCTCGCTCCACTAGCCTTCCTATTCGCATCACCGTGCTGGATGCGAATGACAATGCGCCTGCCTTCAATCAGTCCTTGTACAGGGCGCGCGTCCCGGAGGATGCACCCCCTGGCACTCGCGTTGCTCAAGTTCTTGCAACGGATCTGGATGAAGGCCTCAATGGTGAAATCGTTTACTCCTTCGGCAGCCACAACCGGGCTGGCGTGCGGGAACTATTTGCTTTAGACCTTGTAACTGGGGTACTAACAATTAAGGGTCGACTGGACTTCGAAGACACAAAACTCCACGAGATTTACATCCAGGCCAAAGACAAGGGCGCCAATCCGGAAGGAGCACATTGCAAAGTATTGGTAGAGGTGGTGGACGTGAATGACAATGCTCCAGAGATCACAGTCACCTCCGTGTACAGCCCAGTCCCTGAGGATGCCCCCCTGGGGACTGTCATAGCTTTGCTCAGTGTAACTGATCTGGACGCTGGTGAGAACGGGCTGGTGACTTGCGAGGTTCCACCAGGTCTTCCCTTCAGTCTTACTTCTTCCCTCAAGAATTATTTCACTTTAAAAACCAGTGCAGTCCTGGATCGGGAGACAGCGCCAGAATACAACCTCAGCATCACCGCTCGGGATGCGGGATCACCTTCTCTCTCAGCCCTGTCGACAGTGCGGGTTCAAGTGTCCGACGTCAACGACAACCCTCCACAATCTTCCCAGTCTTCCTACGACGTTTATGTTGAAGAAAATAATCTTCCTGGGGTTCCAATACTAAACCTAAGCGTCTGGGACCCCGACGCCCCACAGAATGCTCGCCTTTCCTTCTTTCTCTTTGAGCAAGGCGCTGAAACCGGGCTAGTGGGTCATTATTTCACGATAAATCGTGACAGTGGCGTCTTGTCATCTTTAGTGCCCCTGGATTACGAAGATAGGCGGGAGTTTGAATTAACAGCTCATATCAGTGACGGGGGCACCCCGGTCCTGACCACCAACATCAGTGTGAACATCTTTGTTACTGATCGCAATGACAACGCCCCCCAGGTCCTCTACCCCCGGCCTGGCCAGAATTCGGTGGAGATGTTGTCTCGAGGTACCGCTGCAGGCCACGTGGTCTCGCGGGTGGTAGGCTGGGATGCGGATGCAGGGCACAATGCCTGGCTCTCCTACAGCCTCTTGGGAGCCCCCAACCAGAGCCTTTTTGCTGTGGGACTTCACACAGGTCAAGTCAGTACTGCTCGCCCAGTCCAGGACACGGATTCGCCCAGGCAGACCCTCACGGTCTTGATCACAGACAATGGAGAGCCATCGCTGTCCACTACCGCTACCCTGACTGTGTCCGTAACCGAGGAATCTCCAGAAGCCAGGGCCGAGTTCCCCTCCGGCTCTGCTCCGCGGGAGCAGAATAAAAACCTCACCTTTTACCTACTTCTTTCTCTAATCTTGGTCTCTGTGGGATTCGTAGTCACAGTGTTGGGAGTTATCATATTCAAAGTTTACAAGTGGAAGCAGTCTCGGGACCTATACCGAGCCCCAGTGAGCTCCCTGTACCGAACACCAGGGACCTCTTTGCACGCGGACGCCGTGCGGGGAGGTCTTATGCCACCGCACCTTTACCATCAGGTGTACCTCACCACTGACTCGCGCCGCAGCGACCCGCTGCTGAAGAAACCTGGTGCTGCCAGCCCGCTGGCCAGCCGCCAAAACACTCTACGAAGTTGCGATCCCGTGTTCTATAGGCAGGTGTTGGGGGCAGAGAGCGCCCCTCCTGGACAGGTAAGGGCTAGCAGGTCATGCCTGAAATGTTTTGTTTTGGTTTTGTTTCCTGCACCATGTTTGGGAAGTTTTGGGTTGGGGCTGTTTTAAATGATGAAGACGCTTTTCTCATTTTGTGTACACACTTTCATCTGGTTCTTCCTAGATCAAACTTAGTGCCTTTGGGAGGAAGTCAGCCATTAGAATGTGATTTGTAGTTCCATTTCAGGGTGAAGTTATTTGCCTCCTCTGTGGACCAAATTTACACCCTCAACCCTCAATTACCATCACAACTAAGCAATCTTGCTATTATGCACCTGAGCTATAATCTAAGATCTCAGCACTCCAAATTTAGCTTGGCATCATTTGTTTTGGGAAACACCTGCTGGATACCTCTAACCAGTGGCAGCTGATAGGAATACAATATACCTCATTCGTCCTTTTCAAGTGATAGCTATATCTGCATCAAAACTAAAGTTTCTTTGATAACTTCATTTGCCAACACAGATCCTCTATCTCATTCTCAGATAATTATCTATGAATGAAATAAAATTCTAGGCATCCTTTAAATTCATTTTAAGCATGCTACTGAAAATAATGGGTGTGTCATTCGCCCCATAATTTTATAACAGTAACACATGAGCACTGTAGGGAATATAGAAAATACAAAAGAGTAAAATTTTAAAGTAACTATAATCCCCAAACCCAAAGATAATCACTGCTAATTATAAAAGTAATGATTTATTTTGGAAAAAATCCAGGCAAAAGAAAGAATATAGAGTACAAATGTGCCTCTACTGTTATTCCTACCCCCTCTAGCATTATTTTTCTTAAGTATACATATAATGTGAAAGGTAGATGAACTCATTTCCTTAGAAGGATAAAGCATTCATTCATTCATGCTGGCATGCTGATGACTACAGGGCCTTTGCCTTGGAGAGAAACCTACACAAACTCTCAATTGTGGGAGACCTCTGTTATTTTGTCATTAAGTGCATTATTTTGTTACTAAGTATAATAATACTATCAAATCTTGAATTTGGCAGTTAGACAAGGCTTTTACCATAGGAGTCCTTGTCCAAGTTACTTACTCTCCCCTTTAAGCCTCTTTCTCATGTGCAAAAAATAACATGGGTTTTATAGGACTAAAGCATGATGCACTGTATGTAAAGTGTTTAGCACAGTGCCTGGCATGTCACAGCTATTAAAAAATTACTAGTTATTTCTATTACTACTTTTATTCTTCACCCACTCAAAATTCTTAAACATACTTTTGACATGAACAAATAGGAGGAGAGCCTAAAATAACAAAGTAGAATCATATATGGAAAGGCTAAGAAAGGATGAAAGCCAGATAGAAGCACCTGCTGCTCTTCTGATCATCCTAAAAACAACTGGCATTTTCCCTAAAACAGTGTTCTCAAACTTGGGTGCACCTTAGGATCAAATAGGGATCTTGTAAAAATTCTAAATCCCATGTCACATCCCAGACACAATTTCTGGGGGTGGGGCACAGACATTAGTATCTTTTTAGTATTTTCAGGTGATTCTAATGTATGAACACTCAAAACCACTGCCCTAGAATCTGCCAGTTCATCATTTGCATATTTATGAAGCAAAATGTCATTCTGGTATTCACAGAAACAGGAAGCAGCTATATTGAGTCAGTTCCAACTTAAAAAAATACTCTAATGACATTTCCCAACTTTTGATTATTATATAGGATAGCTCTAGAAGAGTACTATAGGAAAGACAAAAGATGATATTTCAGTTATCTAAATAGAAAATCTCCCTAAGCCACTAGTACCTGGGCCATTTGGGTTTCTTTTGGGTGTAACAAAAATTTTTCAGCATCACATAGTGTTAATGATTGATTCAACTTGGTGTAGTTGAATATACTAAAAACCATCAAATTGGACCCTTTAAAATGTGAACTGTATGGTATGTCAACTATATCTCAAAAAACCTGTTTTAAAAAAGTGCACAAGTGGGGCTGGGAAAGTAACTCAGTGCCTAGCATACAGGAAGACCTGGCTTTGATTTGCAAAAAAAAAAAAAAAAAAAAAAAAAAAAACAGAAAAACAGAATCTGGAGATGGGAGTATCAAATATCTGGCATAAAAATGTTAAGAGTATGTTGTATTAAAGTGTTGTGATGCTCCAATTCTAGTAAAACAGGCTAGGCTTTTTAAAATGTGAAATTGCAAGTATAGTACTATATGTACTAATTGTTTAGCTTCAGACAAATCTCTTGAGCTCTCAACTACATTTTTTCATCTATAAAGATAATACTTACTTAACAAATATTTAATAAATATTAATTGAGTTGATAATTGCTAATATTCACCATTTTATTATCACCCCTGTGTGTTAGACTCTGTAAAAGATCAAAGGACACTGTCTGCCCTTATGGTACACAGAATACCACAGGAGACAAACAAGATAAAAGGAAAGAAAATGGGTTCTGAATTACACAAGAAGCAGTGGCCTCAAAGAGGAAGAAATACCTAAGTCAGCCTGAGAAATCAGGAAAACTTCATAGAGGCAGTCATGATGCTTGAGCCAAGAACTGAAAGATGAGTAGTAGCTTATCAAATAGTAAAGGGGAAATGGGTCAGGAAGGAGCCTTTGCAGGAAATTCCATGTGTGAGATAAGAGTATTTTACTATTGTTGGACTATAAAGCACGTGTGTAAAACAGTCTTTGCAGGCCATGAAGTGAAGCAAGTAGGCAGGAATACCTGAATTACCTTTTAACTGTGCCAAGGGGTTTTCATTTTATTCACTATAGATGATAGTTAATTTGAACTAATACACACACACACACACACGATGTTATCAGGATCTTCTGTTTGCTTGCTTTAGAGAGATTATTCTGGTAGTCATAAGTGAAATACATTGGAGACATTGGGAAGAGAGACAAAGGCTATTGCAGTACTTGAGAGGATTGATAAATGCTTGAACCAGCACAGTGGCAGGGCAGACTACACTAAAATGACTCCAATAAAATCATCAGAACTTGTTGACTGACATGATATAGGAAGAGAGGGATGGGAATGAGTCAAGAATGACCTCCCCCCACCCCCTACATAGAAACTCCTTGAATTCTAAGGTAGCTGGGTGAATGATGATGCCACTTACTGAGATAGTGAATTCTGGCATAAACACTTTGGTAGACCAAGATGTTTTACATCTCCGTAATTCCCATGGGAAGAGACTTAAGGGGTGTGTGTGTGTGTGTGTGTGTGTGTGTGTGTGTGTGTGTGTATGTGTGTGTGTGAGGGCTTGTTTTATTTTGTTTTTATATAAGAATACAGATGCCAGATCCCTTTCTTTGTGACTAGAATGTCAATTGCTGGCCTCACCATAGTAAAAAAATATATATATTCCTGAAAATCAAAGGTTTGGGGGAAATGAGGGAATTGTAAGAACACCTGGTTTTTTTGTTTGTTTGTTTGTTTGTTTTTGTTTTTGTTTTGTTTTGTTTTGTTTTCTGGTTTTGGCTGCCTGTATTAACCTAGTTAAGAATTTGGATGAATTAACAAATATCATGTCCAGATCAAGTTGCATTTTTCTCTGTGCTCTGATGCGTTTGCCACTCAGATTACAGTTTGGAGGTACCTACAGTTTAAAATTTATTGTGTTTCTGCTCTTGTGCAAAGGTAGTAGCCAGGCTGCTAGGAGGTCTGGATGACAGAGGGGGTGGGGTGAGATCAAGTCTCCAGCTACAAGAGGTCCCCTGGGGCTAAGTGAAAAGCTTGCTCTTTTGAAATGGTCTCTGTTGGTAATTAACAACATATCAAGAACACCACTGGGGTCAAATAAAGAGGATTTGTAGGCACAATGCTGTTGGTGGCTGATCCCAATTATTCAAGAAAGCTGTTGAATCTGTGAACATTAGCATTCTGCCAGGTAATAAGATCTAGTCCTTTATACCTCCCAGACTCTGCTGATTCTTACAGTTTTGGGAAGTCTCCCTCTCCTGGCTTCCACCACCCTGTTCCCAAACTGTCCTTGAAATCAATGAATGGTAATTTAGTGTATTACTAGCAAATGTCTGAATAAGAGTGGTTTGTTTTGTGCCGCACCTCCTGTTACAATCAAAACGTGTGCTGCATAAATTTAATTGGCCACATTAATGTGTAAGCCTTTTTTGCAAAGGGATGGATATGGTTCTGAATAATCTGCAGAGGGGCAGAGTTTTGAGTATATGGCAGTGCTTTTAATTAGCTGTTGTTCTAACACAATCAGATTGGGACAGAAGCTACTCATTTAGGATATTGGTTGATGACAACACTGGCTTGAATAAAGTGACCAATCTCAAATGGCTACTTGCTCAGTGGGCTGCAGGTTGCTAGGGCTCAGGCTGTCGCTGTTTTCCCCGCCGAAAAGGGGCGGGGTGAGTAGGTTGTTGGGGAGGGGGAATACGTATATGTTGTTTGCTTCTCCAAAGAGGTAATGATCCATGAAATAAATACCTTTGAACAGGAGGAAGGTGAAAAGATAAGTTGGGGGTTATTTTATTATTTTGTGGGGTTTGGGGGGGGGTTGTTTTTTTTTTTTTTTCTTCCAATGCTGCGACGCATTAACCCTGCTGCTATTAGGATGTTCTCTGCTCAGCCTATTGGCTGAGCCCAGGAGCCGCTGTCTGCCAATCCGGTGTTGAAAGGCAGACAAATCTACCCCGCCACCAGCAAAAAACGGCGCGTAACCCTTGCAGTGCCGGCCAAGCCGCGCCAGAACTGGCGCGGGGGGGAAAGGGAGATAGGTGTCTCCAGCTGCTGTGGATGTTTGGGGCGGGTCGGCTTCTTCTGCTTCCCAGGACCAAGTAGAGAATTAGCGGGTGGCAGCAATGCTCTGCAAGGTGAGAAGCTGGGTAGAACTCGGGTGGGGGGCTACCCTTTTGTTCCTCTTTTGCCACCTGGGTTACGTTTGTGGGCAGATCCGCTACCCGGTCCCAGAGGAGTCACAGGAAGGGACTTTTGTAGGGAATGTCGCCCAAGATTTCCTGCTGGATACAGAGAGTCTGTCAGCTCGCAGGCTGCAGGTCGCTGGAGAGGTGAACCAAAGACACTTCCGTGTGGATTTGGACAGCGGAGCCCTGCTAATCAAGAATCCAATAGATCGAGAGGCACTGTGTGGGCTCAGTGCCAGCTGTATCGTGCCCCTGGAGTTTGTAACCGAAGGGCCTTTGGAAATGTACCGAGCAGAGGTAGAGATCGTAGATGTGAATGATCACGCCCCCCGATTTCCGCGGCAGCAGCTGGACTTGGAAATCGGGGAGGCAGCTCCTCCAGGACAACGTTTCCCTTTGGAAAAGGCTCAGGATGCAGATGTGGGGAGCAATTCCATTAGCAGCTATAGACTGAGCTCCAATGAACACTTTGCACTTGATGTCAAGAAACGCAGCGACGGCAGCCTCGTCCCGGAGCTGCTCCTGGAGAAGCCTTTGGATCGGGAGAAGCAATCGGACTACCGCCTGGTGCTGACTGCTGTAGACGGAGGGAACCCCCCAAGATCTGGCACCGCGGAGCTCCGGGTCTCTGTGCTGGACGTAAATGACAACGCCCCAGCCTTCCAGCAATCCAGCTACAGAATTAGTGTCTTGGAGAGCGCGCCAGCCGGCATGGTGCTCATCCAGCTCAATGCCTCTGACCCGGACCTGGGTCCTAGTGGTAACGTCACATTTTCTTTCAGTGGCCACACCCCTGATCGTGTGAGAAACCTCTTTGACCTGCATCCCACAACTGGAAAGCTTACCCTTCAGGGGCCCCTAGACTTCGAGAGTGAGAATTACTATGAATTTGATGTGCGGGCTCGTGATGGGGGTTCTCCAGCCATGGAACAACATTGCAGCCTTCGAGTGGATCTCCTGGATGTAAATGACAATGCCCCCCACATCACAGTGACTTCAGAGCTGGGAACTCTCCCAGAAAGTGCAGAACCTGGCACTGTAGTGGCACTCATCAGTGTGCAGGACCCCGACTCAGGTTCAAATGGAGATGTGAGCCTTCGAATCCCTGACCACTTGCCATTTGCCCTCAAGTCTGCCTTCAGGAACCAGTTCTCCCTTGTGACTGCTGGGCCCTTGGACCGAGAGGCTAAATCCAGTTATGACATCATGGTCACTGCTTCTGATGCTGGGAACCCTCCTCTGAGTACCCACAGGACTATTTTCCTCAATATTTCTGATGTGAATGATAACCCACCCTCCTTCTTCCAGAGATCACATGAGGTGTTTGTTCCTGAGAATAATCGCCCAGGGGACCTGCTTTGCTCTCTTGCAGCCTCGGACCCAGACTCTGGTTTGAATGCACTTATCTCTTATTCTCTCTTAGAGCCCAGAAATCGAGATGTGTCAGCTTCCTCCTTCATCTCTCTGAACCCCCAAACAGGAGCTGTTCATGCTACTCGATCATTTGATTATGAGCAAACACAGACACTGCAGTTTGAGGTACAGGCCCGGGACAGGGGCAACCCACCTCTTAGCAGCACTGTGACAGTCCGTCTATTTGTTCTGGACCTCAATGACAATGCCCCAGCTGTGCTCCGCCCTAGGGCCAGGCCTGGTTCCTTATGTCCTCAAGCACTGCCTCCATCAGTTGGTGCTGGCCACCTAGTCACCAAGGTGACTGCCGTGGACTTGGATTCAGGTTACAATGCTTGGGTTTCCTATCAGCTCCTAGAGGCCCCAGATCCCAGCCTGTTTGCAGTCTCTCGATATGCTGGGGAGGTCAGGACAGCTGTTCCCATCCCCGCTGATCTCCCACCACAGAAGCTTGTCATTGTGGTGAAGGACAGTGGTAGCCCACCACTTTCTACCTCTGTTACTCTCCTCGTGTCCTTAGAGGAAGACACTCATCCAATTGTTCCTGATCTTCGAGAATCTTCAGCTCCAAGGGAAGGAGAATCCCGTCTGACCTTATACTTGGCTGTATCCCTAGTGGCAATTTGCTTTGTCTCCTTTGGTTCATTCGTGGCACTACTCTCTAAATGTCTACGTGGGGCTGCTTGTGGAGTGACATGCTTTCCTGCTGGCACCTGTGCATGTCTCACCAGATCTCGAAGGAGGGAGGGGCTTCCTCCTTCCAATGGGATCCTCCGAATCCAGCTAGGGTCAGATGATCCTATCAAGTTTGTTGATGTGGGAGGCCACTCTCATGGCTGTACACCCTTGGCTTCTGCACCCACTCGGAGTGATAGCTTCATGATGGTGAAGTCACCCAGTGCACCTATGGCAGGAGAGCCTGTTCGCCCAAGCTGTCCACCCTCTGATCTTCTCTATGGGCTAGAGGTGAGACCTTTTCAGGCTCAGCCAATGCTTGAGGGTTGTTCTGATTCAGGCTTATGATTGGGCCATGTTCCAGAGAGTACTGGCCTCCCTGTAAGAGCCCAGAGTGATTTCACCATTTTTGTGAGTAGTAACTATGTGGTAGATTCTGAGCTTTTTTTTTTTTTTTAAAGTGTTTTGTGAATTAACCAGGTGGTTAACACAGGTTAGCACTGGGGGTGGATTTTGTCTATATCTAAAAGTAAGGAGTAAAAGTAATTGGTGATCAAGAACTATGCTATTGTGAAGCATGCTGACGGAACTTAGGAGCATAGACGGCTATAGTGCACAAGGGTGGGATGCACTAGGCAATCACCTGAACCCAGAGCTACTTTCTCTACTCTTCCTAAATCAGGGGGGCCAGGTTCTGGAGGAACTTAACTCTCGGTTACCATTTTCCAATGGACTGAGAGGGTGACTAAAATCTTTGCCCCATAGTCTCTAGGATCCTTAACCCACTGTGATGGGTACTCTCTGAAGCATAGCAGGAAAAAAAAAAAAAAAAGAGAGAGAGAGAGAGAGATCCAAGGGAGCAGAGAGGTGCACATCAAAGATCTTTTGGGCCAGATGTGGTGGCACATTCCTGTAATTCCAACAATTCCAGCAAGGTGGGAGGCTAAGGCAGGAGGATCTCAAGTTTGAGGCCAGACTTAGTGAAACCCTTTCTCAAAATAAAAAGGGTTGGAGATGTAGCTCAGTGATAAAGCATCCCTGGGTTCAATCCCCAGTGCTCTCCCCAGAAAAGATCTTTTGATCCAGATGTTTAGGATTCCCAGTCCCTAATGGGATTTGAACTAGGTACAATGCAGTATATTGGAAACAGAGAGGTATTCATTATGTCTTTGGGGGAAAAAAGCGGTAAGTGAAATGACAATGTCAGAAAACTGTTTTACAGTTGAGGAACTCAGAGACAGCAACTCTGGAAGCCTTTAGAGTTCTCCAGAATTTGGTGAAACCATAAAGCCTAGATAGAGGTTATGCTTGTCCTCTGTCAACTCTTCTTAGTAACTTAGATCAGTCCCAGAAATGTTCCTTTACTCATAAACGGTGACAATCATTCCACATTCTGAGTCTGGGATCTCAGATAAACTGAGTTCTGTAGCCATCAACTGACATGGAGATTTTCCTCAAAGCATTGCTGAAGAGTCAAGATAAGACTTTATAGTGTCCTAGCAAATTTTTTCTCTTGCCCCTAGCAGCATTCAGTAGGATGGGAGAAGGGGAGTGGGAGAGAGATGGGAGAGGGGTGGGGGAGCAAATGTTGTTTGCCTTTCCCAGAAAGTGAATTTTGTTGGTTCCAGTGAAGTAGTGTGGAAGCTTTTGAAGTCATGGAGGAAGTTGCTGGGATAGAACACTGAGGAGTTTTGTACCACTTTGTCTTCCCTGTTGAGCACCATCTGAGCTGTCAAACTTTGCTGCCAAGGGGGCTGAATCAACCTGCAGCACGAAAATGAGTAGGGAGGTAGGAGGCTTCTGTGACACAGATTTGCATTGCCCGTTCCCAAGGTTTCCAGAACTGAGGAGACTGCATAATTGGTTGAGAGCAGACAGACTTTTTGACCAATCAAACTCAGAGACAAGGTGGGGGATCTGCTCTTCCTGCCCGCCTCTCCTCCTCCAGCTCCCCAGCTCCACTTACATTTAACTCCCCTTCCCCCCCACCCACCCCCGCCATTTGGTGACTAAGAACTGCTGCAGGCAGGCAAACCTCAGAGCAGTTTTTAAGAGGCTGGAAGGAGACATAAGAGATTTCTTCTGCTGCATTCCAAGCCCTTGGTCTACCTTGGAGACAGGACAGCACAGAGTTGTTCTCCAGGAAGGGACTTCTGGGTCATGGGGCCCAAGACACCCCCACAGCTCCCTGGGAAATGGCAAGTGCTGTGCATGTTGTCCTTGTGCTGCTGGGGCTGGGTGTCTGGGCAGCTTCGTTACTCAGTGGTGGAAGAGTCTGAGCCGGGGACGCTGGTAGGGAATGTTGCTCAAGATCTGGGCTTAAAGGTGACAGATCTGTTGAGCCGCCGACTGCGGCTGGGCTCTGAGGAGAATGGGCGCTATTTTTCCCTGAGCTTGATGAGTGGTGCTCTAGCAGTGAATCAAAAGATTGACCGAGAGAACCTGTGTGGAGCCAGCACCAGCTGCCTGTTGCCAGTGCAGGTGGTGACTGAACACCCGCTGGAGCTCATCCGTGTAGAGGTAGAGATCCTGGATCTCAATGACAACTCTCCAAGCTTTGCCACTCCTGAGCGAGAGATGCGTATCTCAGAATCAGCTGCACCTGGAGCACGATTCCCACTGGATAGTGCCCAAGATCCGGATGTAGGCACCAATACTGTGAGCTTTTACACTCTAAGCCCCAGCAGCCACTTTTCTCTGAATGTGAAGACCCTAAAAGATGGGAAGCTCTTCCCAGAGCTGGTGCTAGAGCAGCAGCTAGATCGTGAAACTCAGGCAAGACATCAGCTGGTGCTCACTGCTGTGGATGGGGGTACCCCAGCTCACTCAGGGACCAGCCTCATCTCCATCATTGTGCTGGACATCAATGATAATGCTCCAACCTTCCAGTCCTCAGTTCTACGTGTGGGACTTCCAGAGAATGCACCCATGGGGACCCTGCTGCTCCGCCTCAATGCTACTGATCCAGATGAGGGCACCAATGGCCAACTAGACTATTCTTTTGGAGATCATACTTCTGAGGCAGTGCGGAATCTCTTTGGCCTGGACCCTAGTAGTGGAGCAATCCACGTGTTGGGTTCAGTAGACTTTGAGGAGTCAAGTTTCTATGAAATTCATGCAAGAGCCCGTGACCAGGGACAGCCAGCCATGGAGGGCCACTGTGTGATTCAAGTAGATGTGGGGGACGCCAATGACAATGCCCCTGAGGTTCTGTTGGCCTCTTTGGTCAACCCTGTCCCAGAGAGCACACCAGTGGGCACAGTAGTGGGGTTGTTTAATGTGCGGGACCGAGACTCAGGAAGAAATGGTGAAGTAAGTCTGGATATCTCTCCAGACCTCCCATTTCAGATCAAGCCTTCTGAGAACCACTACTCATTGCTAACCAGCCAGCCCTTGGACCGGGAGACCACATCACACTATACCATTGAGCTACTGGCTAGCGATGCTGGCTCACCTCCTCTGCACACACGTCTCACCATCAGGATCAACATTTCAGATGTTAATGACAACGCACCCCAGTTCAACCAGCAGCTCTATACTGCTTACATCCCAGAAAATAAGCCTCCGGGCTCCCTTCTCTGCACTGTGGCTGCCTCAGATCCAGACACTGGGGATAATGCCCGTCTCACCTACTCCATTGTAGGGAGTCAGATTCAGGGAGCCCCATCCTCCTCCTTTGTGTATGTCAACCCTGATGATGGACGAGTCTTTGCCCAGCGAACTTTTGACTATGAATTGCTGCAGATGCTGCAGATTGTGGTGGGGGTTCGAGATTCTGGCTCTCCCCCACTGCATGCCAACACATCTCTACATGTGTTTGTCCTTGACCAGAATGATAATGCCCCAGCTGTGCTGCACCCAAAGCCAGGCAGGGAATTCTCAGCCCCCCAGCGTCTCCCTCGCTCTGCTCCTCCTGGCTCCTTGGTCACCAAGGTGACAGCTGTGGATGCTGATGCAGGCCACAATGCATGGCTTTCTTATTCCCTGTTGCCACAGTCCACAGCCCCAGGATTGTTCCTGGTGTCTGCACATACTGGTGAGGTGCGCACAGCTAGGTCCTTACTAGAGGATGACCCTGATACCCAGCAGGTGGTGGTCCTCGTGAGGGACAATGGTGACCCTTCACTTTCCTCTACAGCCACAGTGTTGCTGGTTCTGGAGGATGAAGACCCTGAGGAAATGCCCAAATCCAGTGATTTCCTCACACACCCTCCTGAACGTTCAGACCTTACTCTTTACCTCATTGTGGCTCTAGCAACCATCAGTCTCTTATCCCTAGTAACCTTCACCTTTATGTCAGTTAAGTGCCTTCGGGGACAGGCAGATGGGGATGGTGGTGGGGGTGGGTGCTGCAGGCATCAGGACTCACCCTCCCGGGAATTTTATAAGCAGTCTAGTCCCAACCTGCAGGTGAGCTCAGATGGCACACTTAAGTACATGGAGGTGACACTGCGGCCCACAGACTCACAGAGCCATTGCTACAGGACGTGCTTTTCACCAGCCTCTGATGGCAGTGACTTCACTTTCCTCAGGCCGCTCAGCGTTCAGCAACCCTCAGCTCTGGCGCTGGAGCCTGATGCCTTTCGTTCCCACTCTAATACGATGCGGGAGAGGAGCCAGGTGAGGGCTCAGCGCCACCCGCGGGCGACTCCTGGGGGAGGCATTGGAGAAGCCTGCGGTCCACATAAGGGACTGAACTTGCATCCACACCTCTCGGGCTGGCTCAGCAGCTCTTTATACTCCACCTGATTCTTGGGATCCTTTGGACTCATTGCGTGATGGGACTCCAAGCATTGGGAGGTGATGGTGATTATGGACGAGGGAAGGTGGGACCACTAACTCCTGCCACCATACTTAGAAAAGGGTGGGGCTCCGCCGAGTTTCTGGTGAATTTCTGGCAATTTCCACAGGTGTGGGGGATCTTGGGTGGAGGCTGGGATAGATTCACCCTACCAGCCTCCTAAGCTTCAGTTCCTCGCACGCTGCGCGGGTCTTTTAGGCTTCCTCTTCCATTTTCTACCCGTTCCCATGATCTGTGGCTTCACTGTAATCTTCAACCTTCCTTATCCTGGCTCCACCCAACCACATCTGGACTGAGGTGTGCCAGTAGGGTTCACCTGTGTCCTCCCTACGCCAGCTCAAACACCCATGCACCAGCTCTCACCCCCGGCGGCTCTCTGCCAGATTCACACCAGTTGTCTGTGGCCCACTCACAGCCCCTTGCCCGTGGTCTCTGGTAAAAGTCCCGGGTCGCTGCTGCCCAGGACCAGGCAAGTACTTGGGAGCATCTTCCCAGTTGCACCTGGCGGGGAGGGGGAGCCAGTCACCTCAGGGTGACCTGAGCTTTACTGAAGTTCGCGGAGCGCAGGCGGGTTGGGGGCATGACTCTGTGACCCTCTGGCCAGCTGGTCCTGCAGGACCCAGGGCTCCATATTGAAAGTGGCAGCCCCTGAAGCCTTGAGCAGAGGGAGTAGAACTTTATAAGATATAACCCAGGAGCCCTGTGGCACCAGTCGGGCCCCTTTCTCCTGAGGAGAGTGGGAACTTGGAGCTCCCCAGCTCTTGATGCTCAGAAACAGGCTTTTGGCTCTTCCTGCCCAAGATGTGCTGATGTGCTCAGCCATCTAGGATCAGGGACTTGGGGGTGGCCAAAATATCTGAGATTCTTGTCAAGTCTTTTCTCCTCTGGCAGATGGAAAGCCGTAGCTTCCACCAGATGCAGGGGTACCCCTCATATGTGAGGAAACTATAATAGTGAAAAACACAAATTTCCATAATCCCAGAAGGTTTTTATTCAAAATATATCTATTCACCACCCTGAATCAGGATTATAGTTTGAAAACAACACTTTAGATGCTTCTGATAGCTGATTGAGAGAAGCTAACTACCCGCCTTATTGGAGAACTAGGATATTCATTTGCTCTTCTCTTCACTGTTGCTGGATAGTTTCTTAGCCTCATCTTGTAACTGAGTTTCATGGAAGTCATGTGACTTTCTCAAGTTCAGAGCAAGTGATAGTCTAACCTTGGTCTGTCTAACTCCAGAGTGTGCTTTGACTGGTTTGGAACTTGAAACTTAGGATGCTGAACAAAAGACAGTTGGCATCTACTGGGATGGGGCAAGGGTGTTATTCTTTCCCTTTTAGTGCCTTACATGAGGAGGGAAGACTTTGGGCTTCCTCATCCACAGTAGCCCTCACTGAACAAATGGAGACCCGCCATCCTCCTGTTTCATCCAGCTCCCTATCCTCCCATCATGATCCCTGCAACTCCATGTAGATTCTGCTGTGCTTAAGAATACATTGGCTAAGGGCTGGACATCTTCAAGGAAGCCCCAGAATGGTGCTCATGGCTCCTGATATACTAAGGATATTAGATTTCTAGATTCTGCTCACATCACTGTGGCCTATGAGACTTGAGTGTGAATCACTGGCAGTTCTAGGTCTCCCCAGTGTAATCTGAGATGCTCACACTCTCTGCTTCTGGGAACCAGAGTGAGAATTAATTACCCTGTCCCAGAGAGCACACCAGTGGGCACAGTAGTGGGCACAGTAATGTCCTCCCAGAACCAGTGAGGACATGGCTCTCGGAGGGCTCCATGAATGGTGGAATGAATAACATACTCCTGGAAGGACTGGGAGAGACTTGGGTGTTAAGTGGCTGACAGAAGAACCCACACCTTCAGCCAGGTGGGAGATGGCTACAGATCAAACCCCCTGGGAGCCCTGCAGATTTAGTTGGCATTGCTTGGAAGCTGTGGGAGCTTGATCTCTCTGGGCTCCATCCCAGCCATTTTCTGTGTTCCAGACAGAGAAGCCTTGTTCTCTTCTCAGTCACAGGCCATTGTCTGGCATGGAGTTCTGAGGGCAAGAGGTGTCCCAGGGCTTGGATCCCTAGCAAAGGCCCTGTCTGGCATGACTCCTAAATTAATAATGTATTTAGCTGTGGGAAGAGATCCTTGAGAGCCAAGGGCCTGGACGAGGTGTCGCTCTAAATGTGTCGCTGCACAACTTGGCATGAAAAGGGTTACCCAGAGCCGCAGCCATCTTGCTGCGGAGGATGCTTTGTTCCCAGCTGAAGGGCTGGATAACTTCATTCTAGGGCTGGTGGGATTCTAATCTAAAAGCCTCTTTTGCCACTTTTAGGAGCCTTCTCTGCTCCCTCCAGTACCACAGAAGATACTTTCAGTCCTTGAATTTGGGCCCCAAAGTCCTGAGTCTGGAGACACGGAAAAAGGAAGGCTTTAAAAAAAAAAAATCAAAGCTTCCTCACTGTGACAGATAAAAATGTCATTTCATCTCTGGTACCTCGGACCTCTGAGAGGGACCTGGGGTATTTTTGTGGTCTTTGGAAATGTGTCATCCCCTCCCCCATCTTACCCCATTTCCTTCTCTTACCCACTCCCCTCCTCGTCCAGCTCATCCCCAGGGACTCTGGTGACATTCTGACAGCTCATGGATACTCAGCTTCTTTCCCTCTGTTTTCTCCACAGCAAGCCCCACCCAACACGGACTGGCGTTTCTCTCAGGCCCAGAGACCCGGCACCAGCGGGTAGGTGACTGATTCTCCAGCCCACCCTCTTCTCTGCGGCATTTTTCTCAGTGATGACGTGGGAGGAGATGGGGGAGGGCTTGGCATTTGCTACAAATGGTGTCTTTCCTCCTTCCGAGTTCTCAGCATCGAGGTTTTGATGTATTGGGGGCTGGTACACAGACCCGGAAGGGAGAGGCACCTGCCCTATTTTGGAAGCTGAATGCACACTCACCCCTCCCTTCTCCCCATCACATGCACATGTTCCAATCTCCTGAGGGCTCCAAGGGACCAAAGGATGGTCTTAAAGTCGCCTGTGGATGGAAGGGAGGCGTTTTATGCCTGTCTATCACCTGCATTCCTCTTCTCTGAGTTGAGCTGGGCTCCATCCTGACCTGGAGTTTAGGCAGAGAAACATGGGTCAAGAGGGGGGACAGGAGAAGGCTGTCAGCACTTAGAACCTCCTCCAGAGCCTGCTAGGAAGAGTGATGGCAGGGGGAGGGAAAGTAGAGGCAGCACAGTTGGAGATGGGACTGAGCAGGGAAAGCCACCCTAGGGCCGAGCCCGGGCAGGTCTCCCTCATCCAGGTTCTCCTCCAGCTGCACCCTGGGTTCCACTCATTGTGCCCTCTTTGCCTGGGAGAATTTTGTGTCTGCCTCCTCTTAAGTCTCTCTCTCTGTCACTGTCTCTTATCTCTGTGTCCTCCCCTCAGTCTCTAACTCCAATCTTAGCTTTCCCTTTCCTGGTCTTTATGTCGAGTTCTGTCTTTACTGCTACATCTCGGACCCTATCATATGTGTCTCCTTGCACCGATTGATTTTTACCTCGCACTCTGTGCCTGCCATGTTGGAATGTTCAACAAATGTAGAAGGAAAGAATAAATGTGACTCCTTCCTTAAGTTCAGTCTCTATTTCTCCTTTCTGTCTCTGCCTTCCTAAACTTGTCCTTGACCTCTTTTCTGTGTCTCCATCTCCCACAATTGCCTAGTGACCTCGTGACCTTGTGCTCTTCTATCAGCACTCTCCTTGTTCCTGTCCCTCGTGATTTCCACTTTATTCTCTGTTCTGTGTCCGTGCCCCCCCCCCCCAACTTCTCTCTTCTTCCTCTCTGCTTCCCGGTTGCTTTCTCTGCTACATTTTCTTTATCTTTCTCTGTCTCTCTTTCATGAGTCCCTTCTGTCTCTGCCTCATTTCTTTATGCTTGTGGGCAAGCCAGCACACTCCGGCACCCCCTCTCCCTGCCCCTCACACACAAGAGCCTTTGATCCCTGCTCCCCACTAGTCACCCTCCCATCCAGCCTACTCCAACTGCTCATTTCAATCAGGTCTGAATTCCTGCTGAGACAGGAACCCCCTGTGGGTTGGGGGTGGGGACTTTAGCAGAAAGACCTTCTTGTGGTCTGTGGGGAGTGGGGATGGGCTCTGGGCCAGACCTCCCCAGTAGAAGCCTGGAGCTAAGAGGAATCTGTCCAAAGAACCCTGGAGATGAGGCTGGGGCTTGGGCTGCCTCCCCAGCCCATGTTTTCCCAGAAGCTAAAATGCTGAGCTTCTGTGCTTTCATTCTCCCCCTCTCCTCACCAACTAAGCCCTCACTTCCAGAAGAACACAGGAGGCCTTGGCATGCAACACAGATTTCAGTTCCTGGGCATGCACAGTCCTGTCACTAGCACCAGGAATGCAAAGCATTTCCCAGAGGGCCCCCTGAATGGTGCAAACTGGAAGATTTGCCCTGCCCTTGTCCTTCCCTTGACCCCAGTGATTTCCCTTCTCCCCACTTGCCTAGCCTCCCCATATTCATTCAACAAATATCAATTGAGCATTTACTCTGACTCAGGCCCTGTGCTAACACTGGACTCTAAGAGTGAACAAGCAGACATTATCCTTGAATTCATAAATGTTCAGGCCAGCAGAAGAGAGAAAATTGACAATAAATCACACTAAATTAAAAAAAAAAATCTATTACAAGCTGAGCGCAGGGCACATGCCTGTAATCCCAGTGACTCCAGAGACTGAGTAGGAGGACTGCAAGTTCAAGACCAGCCTTAGCAATTTAGCAAGGTCCTAAGGAACTTAGCAAGACCTTGTCTCAAATTTAAAAAAATTAAGATGAAATTCGATTTAAAAAAATGGCTGGGGGGCTGGGGATGTGGCTCAAGCGGTAGCACGCTCGCCTGGCATGCGTGCGGCCCGGTTTGATCCTCAGCACCACATACCAACAAAGATGTTGTGTCCGCCAAGAACTGAAAAATAAATATTAAAAAAAAAATTCTCTCTTTCTCTCCTCTCTCACTCTCTCTTAAAAAAAAAAGGCTGGGGATGAGGCTCCATTGTTAAGTACTCCTGGGTTCAATCTCTAGTACCCCTCCCACCCAAAAAATCTAGTTACAAATCATAGGACTTTATAGAAAAAACTGGGTAATGTCAGTATAATCAGGAAAGAGGATCAGGGAAGGCTTTTAGGAAGAGAGGATGTTTGAGATATGGTAATGAGAAGTACTGGGCAATTTGTGTTTTCTTCTACCTACCCCCAGCCTATACACTGGCCCTGAACCAGAAGTCACTGATGGACCTAGAAGCCTCTCATATATCCTCTGGGTTGAGTACCTTGCCTCTGCTTCAAGTCCTTTCTCATCATAGGAGAAGCTCAGTGGCCTGGGATCTATGGGGGAAGCTCTTGAGGAGATGGAGGAGAAGGCTTAGGAGCTCTCCCTTCCTGAGTCAACTTGCTGATGTGGAGACTAACATTTCTGATTCAGCTCCAAAGTGAACAATCTAACCATGGTTTCAGCCCTCCACTGCTTCTCTGCCCCAACCCCTTTCTACTTTCTTGCCCATTGCTCTTCAGCCCATCTGGTCAGGCACACCAGGTTCAGAACAGAGCCAATGTCAGAGTTCTTCAATAAACCTGACTCAAGTTCAAGCCACCACTAGGTCACAATGTCTAGGCAAAAGTGGACTCTCGTTCTGAAGTCCTTGCTTGCTAGGTGCTCCTCCTCCCCACTATGATCCCTTCTCAGATCAACCTTTGCTTCTGATCCCAACAGCTGTTGTCCCAAGCTTTGAGACCAGCAAACCATCTCTCTCTTCCAAGCCATAATCTCAGCTGTTCTCAAACTCTGCAAGGCAGAGAAAGTCCTTATTTGGATTCCACTGCCCTCCACTCTGTTTTCTTCTGATGGTTCCACACTACCATTTCCCAACTCTGAATCCCCTTCCATTCCTCCTCCTCTGAGACACATTTTTTCTGCTTTTTCTCAGATTGAGCAGTCAGTCAGCAAACAAATATCAGACTGTTTTTTTCTCATTAAAAAAAATGCTCATTGTAGGAACATGAGAAATAGAAAAAAAATCTAAAGAGAAACCACCCATAATTTTATAACCTAGAGAGAACCACTGCTAACTTTATTTTTTGGTACAGTAATAGGGATAGAACTCAGAGCCACACATACATGCTAGGAAAATTCTTTACCACTGAACTACAACTGCAATCCCCCCCCCTTTTTTTTTTGGTATCAGGGATTGAATCAAAAGATGCTTAACCACTGAGCCATCCCTAGCCCTTTTTATTTATTTATTTATTTTGAGACAGAGTCTTACTAGATTGCTTACAGCCTCATTAAGTGGTGGAGGCTGGCTTCAAATGTTTGATTCTCCAAGCCACTGGGATTACAGGCATGTGCCACCATGCCTGGCCCTACCTTTTTATAACAAGGAAAATTTTAAATACATACAAAAGTGGAAAGATGTTGTGATGAACCTCTATGAAACTGCTCTTGAGTTCTAATTAATGCCCTATCTTGCATCAAGTACCTACTTTGGATAACCTTGAAGCAGATCTTAGACATCATATAACTTAATCTGTGTCTTCACTATCTTTAGTAGATGATTTGTGTCTTTGTGTATGTGTATGTGTGTGTGTGTGTGTGTGTGTGTGTGT